CTCTCACATTGCCAGTTAGGAGTCAGAAAGAAACTGTAGTTTGCCACCTCCCTCTTCTGCATTGAGGTCCATTTCTTGACTCCTTCAGGTTGTACCAGAGATCTACCTCCCCGCTGCCCACCTTCCACATGTTGCTATATTCAAGTCTACATTCTGAATCTCGGAGAGGCTGATTTGCTGCTCCTCATCCTAGACGTCTTCTCTGAGATCCTCCAAGAACACATCGCAGACTTCTTTCCAACTGTCCTTGCCTCTCTCAACATATGCATATTTCCCAGCAGTCATCGCCCCACACCTGCAGCATCCTCTGCACCTTTCCTCTGTGCCAGCTCATGGAGCTCAGCCACTGGGTGGCTGGGGGTCAGGGTCAGTGCACGGCATATAATATTTTTTTGATAAATTTCTCTGTAAATGTTTGTTGAGCAAATAGAAGATAAGGTTTTCTTAGCACAAAGATTTTTATAAAAATTTAGCCATGATGCTTCAGCAAAGTAGTCGGCCTCAGGTTGCTGTGGTTTGATCCCCACAACTCCAGCCAGCCAAACATGCCCTGAAGGCATTCTGAACCAGCCAAAAAAAAATTCCTTCTGCGATTTTAAAAATGTAGCCATGAGTCACTACTTACTGATTGCCCGTTTATAAAAGCAGGATTAGATATTTTGAAAACTAAAAATCCCTTCTGCTCGTCTGCAGTCTACTTGTGTGTAGATGGTATGAATGTATAAGCCACTATTACCATTATATATATATGATTGAGAAATGTCTTATACAGAAGTATTGTGAAGGTTTTATGTAGGGAGAAAACCTTCTGGATTAAAATAAATTAGAAGGAGGGATGAAAAGAACAGAGGCAAGGATATAGTCCTAAAGAATTGGCCAGATTTACTGGAAAACGGGAAATGAGAAGATACAGAAAATAGCATAGAGAAGTCAGAAGTAGGAATTTAGCTTATTAGGTTTCAAAGTAAATATGCAAATATTTATATTCCTGGAATGCTGGATACACACGCGCATGCATGCACACAGGTTCACTTAGTCATTTAGCAGGCTGCAGCTGACCACTGTGCTGCAGCACAGGGGACTGGAAGGGCATGTAGCTCCATGATAGAGCACTCAGGAAGGCTGCATGGCTGGGTTCATTGGCAGCTGCCATTCCCACCCCAAACAAAGCTTTTAAAAGCACAGACTTTGAAACCAAAGAACCAGGGTTTTAATCCTGCAACTGACGGGCTTCATGACCTTAGGCAGTTTCTTTATTTTTTTTTT